CTCATCCTGTCACATCCCGAGCAACAGTAGAGGAAGGACTCGGAGCCCAAGGCCGTGAGCGACCCTCGCCATCCCTTTGAGCTGTGGACCCTGGCGTCTGCTCACCTTTCCATACGGAGGGGACGGTGGAAACCTGCGTCACGAGTGATGTGTGTTAAAGGCCAGCACCTGCAGGGCCAAGAGCTCTGCGCCCTGTGCATGACCTTCACTGAAAAGACCCCCAGCAGGGCCTTCCCTAAGCCCCCACCCCAGTCCTGCCTCTGATCCCTTCTCACAAGCCCCTCCCTGGAGGACAGCCGGACGGTAGATGCTCGAAATGACTCTCACTGCCTTGCCTCCTCCTGTTTTCTCCTGTCTCTCTGCTTCCTGATATCTGAGAGCAGCTGCAGAGGGCAGCCTGGGGACCAACACATCAGTGACGTGTGGGTGCGGGGGAAGATGCTTCTCCAAACACACAGGGGCTGGAGGCCTGCCCTCCAGAACCACGGAGCCCCTGCAGAATGGAGCCGCTGGCAGGCGGGAAGGGTTCAATGCCATCTTCCTGGGCACCAGCCAGAGCTCTCCAGGGAAAGACATAGAGGATGTGAACATACACACACACACACACACACACACACACACACACACACACACACACGGATTTATTTTAAGGAACTGGCTCATGAGATTGTGAGGCCTGGCAACTGTGAGGTCCGGGGTAGGCCAGTGTTGGGAACCCAGGCGGGGTCTCTGTATTACAGCCTGGAGCAGAATTCCTTCTCCTCTGGGAAACCTCAGCTTTTGCTCCCAAGGCCTCCAGCTGATGGGAGAGAGGCCCATCCAAATCACAGAGGGTTCACCTCCTCAACTGAGTCAGCTGACTGCTGATCTGAACCTACAGCAACTTCACAGCACGGGAGCCTAACCCAGCAGACACCACGGCCGTCCCAGCATCCACGGCTGCTCCTCTCCCCACTTCCCCACTGGCTGCACACTCTCTTCACTTAGACCTTCCACCTCTTTAGAATTCTCTACATCCCACTTTCCTTTAGCTTCGGAACCAGGACAAGCTTGCTTTCTTGGACTGAGCAATCTAGAAAACAAAGGATTCCCTGTCGCTGTTCACTCCATCCCAGGATGGAAGAGCAGTCACGGGCCAGAGGACATGCCTGCCTTCTCCCCAGAACAGAGCACAGGATGGCACTCAGATGGCCTGGAGGCTGCGGACATGGCCACTAACTAGTTCAGGAAGCCTAGGCATCCATCCCTAAGTCCACGTCTCCCATAAACTGGGCATAAAAATCCCACCTCGTTGGGTTGTTGAACATTAAATGAAAATGTACAGAAGAGCATTTGTGAGCTTTGAGATTCTGTGCAACTGGGAAGAGTCATCATCACTATGATCATCAATACACTAGACACCAGCATCACCACCATCATCATCATCACAACCGTCACCACCAGCGTCACCACCACCATCATCACCATCACCACCATCACCACCACCATCATCACCATCACCACCAGCACCACCACCATCATCACCATCACCACCACCATCATTACCAACATCACCACCATCATCACCACCAACATCATCACCATCACCACCACCATCATTACCAACATCACCACCATCATCACCACCAACATCATCACCATCACCACCAGCATCACCACCACCATAATCACCATCACCAACATCATCACCATCACCATCATAACCATCACCACCATCATTACCAACATCACCACCATCATCACCATCACCACCATCATCAACACCATCATCACCATCATCACCACCAACATCATCACCATCACCACCACCAACATCACCACCATCATCACCACCAACATCATCACCATCACCACCACCATCATCACCAACATCACCAGCAGCATCACCACCATCATCACCATCATCATTAACGTTATGACTGAACTGCATCACCCTCAAAATTCGTATGCAAGCTTTGGATTCAGGAGACCGAAAGGGAAGCCTGAGAACCTGCATTTCTCTCAAGTTCGTGAGTCCTGCTGCTGTTGCTCCAGCCTTTGGATTAAATCATCAAGCGAAGTTTGGCCAGATGAAGTCTGTCAAATATCCCATGGTTTGTTAGAAAAGCCCCCGCTCACAACAGCAGCTGAATACCATCAAGGCTTCCCAGGTGGACACAATTGAGCCCTGTTAAATGATGCGGCAAGCTAACATTCTCCCTGAAATCAACAGTGAGGGGTTCATTTTTCATCACCGGGCGGGGAAGGATCATGAATGCAACATGGATGCTGGGGACATTTTACAGGCAAGACTCCAGAGACTGAGGTCAGTCTCTTTGTACCATGAAAACATGAGGAGGCGGAGAGACAGGGGTGACCAGCTTGTACACGCACAGTCGGAGCCCGTACTGGGTGTGCAGAGCGTGCACCCCAGGCTTTGATTCTGCCCCGCCCGTGAACAATGTCTGCAGGGCACAGAGCCCTATTATTCAGGCGAAATTGTCTTCCTGAACCATTTGCGGCTCTTGATTGATTACTGTTAGCAAAATTGAGACAGATGGCCTTGGGTGTGAGCTGGGGTGGATCTGTTGCCGGTGGGGTGCACAAGCGTTCCTGCCAGGACTCCTGGAAGAAGGGGGCATCCCCCGAGGTGGTCGCTGCCCGTGGGGACAGGAGTGGGGATTCACAAGGGGGTTGCCAACAGTGACCTTCTGTCCCGGATGCCGCGCACGACTCCGCTGGAGAGTCAGGCGGCGGTTACAAACCTCTGCCTGGAATGGCAGCAAGGGCTCTGTGCTGCTGTCCCCGCGCCAACCCAAATCAAAGGGCACTGCTGCTGTTGTTCTGCAGTCGCTCAGTCCCGTCCCGCTCTTTGTGACCCCATGGACTGCAGCACGCCAGGCCTCTGTGCCCCTCACCAACTCCCAGAGTTTGCCCAAGCTCATGCATGTCCATCGAGCTGGTGACGCCGTCCAACCGCCTCATCGTCTGCTGCCCTCGTCTCCTTTTGCCCTCAATCTTTCCCAGCCAAGGGCATTAGTTGCTGTTCTCTAAGCAATTTAAGTACTGTTTGACTGCAGAAAAAAGGGCCATGGAAATGCATCACTTAATAGCAGCAAGATATTTAAACCTAGACCACCGACCCACGGATGAGTCCCACCACGAAGTGGCAAGAGCCCACAGCTCCCTCATTATCACCACTGCAAAGAGGACGCGCTTTGGGGATGAAAGCACAGTCTTCACAGACCCAACAGCACACCAGGAACTCACCTCCACGACTCATTTCACATTAAATACCTTTAAGCCACAGATGCAGAGTAAAGCCCAAGCCTGCCACTGCTCATGAGCTGAGCAAACTTATTAACGCTGACTGTTAAACACCCAGCTCCATCTGGGGATTGAGCTGACTCATTTTCAAGCCATCAAGGGCTTTCCCAGCGGCTCAGTGGTAAAGAATCTGCCTGCCAACGCGGGAGACACGGGTTTGATCCCTGAGCTGTGACGATCCCACAGGCCTTGGAGCAACGAAGTCCAAGCCCCACCACTGCTGAGCCTGCATGCTGTGACGACTGAAGCCCACGCGCCTACAGCCCGTGCTCAGCAACAAGAGAGGCCACTGCAATGAGGAGCCTGTGAAGCACAATCAGCGAGTGGCCGCCACTTGCCGCCACTAGGCAAAAACAAAAACACCCAGCACAGCCAAAAACACAGTAATTCTTACAAAGACAGCAAACCCATCTATATTACCAATATCTGAGTGGAGGAATCCCTGACGGCTCAGGGGGTAAAGACTCAGCCTGCAATTCAGGAGACACAGGTGATGCGGGTTCGATCCCTAGGTTGGAAAGACCCCTTTGAGGAGGACATGGTTAAGCCACTCCAGGACTCTCGTCTGGAAAATCCCACGGACAGAGGAGCCTGGTGGCCTACAGTCCACGGCATCGCAAAGAGTCGGACACGACTGAGCGCTGACACAACGACAAGGAGAGGCTCAGCCGTCACCCAGGGAAGCCGGGGCCAAACGTGAGACCCCTCTCTGCCCAGGAAGCTGTAAAAATCCTTTCCAAACAAAAAGAGTCACAGCCACCTCAATGTTCAGTTTGAGGAGAGAGAGAGCGCGCCGACTGTGTTTAGGAAGAAAGCATTTCTGTAACTTCAGGCATTTAGCCAAAAAAAAAAAGCTCTTTCATCCTAAACCATCTGGTCAGCTGCATCAGAATTCAATGAGCCCCACGTTTATAAAATGGGGTATTACTCAGCCATAAAAAGGGATGAAGCAGCGATACAGCCGGCAACACAGATGGACCTTGAAAAGGCCGTGCTGAGTGAAAGCAGCTGAGCACAAAAGACCCCGTATGGTACGAGCCCCTCCTCTGAACCGTCCAGGGGCGGCTGTCCCCAGGGGCGCAGGAGAAGGAGCGGGTGTCCAGGGGCCGTGGGAGGGAGGGTCAGGGAGTGACTCTTCTGGGTCCAGCATTGTTTTCCTAGGGCTGATGACAAAGCTCTTAACCACACAGAAGTGATGCTCCACAATGTGCCGTGTGCCCACGGCCACTGAATTGCACGTTCTGACACGACTACGATGGTATGTTTTGTGTAATACATATTTTACCACAAAGTAAAAATCAGGACCCTGGCTTTTCAATCCACTTCGTAACCCCGTGGCCACTCCGAGCTGGGTTGTTCGCCCTCTACCCAGGGCAGCAGGCCAGGTGGGGGCACAGGACGGATGCGAGCCACCCCCCCTCCCCCAGAAGATGGTCCCCATTCACACGACAGGCAGCAAAGCCAGCACTGCCCGCCGCTGTGATGACAAGGTCCGCATCCTTCTGCTTTTCCCAAACTGCTTTCGTGAATCGTCCCCCGGAGGCATGGCTGCCTCAGCTGTTTGTTCTAATCGGAAGGAAGCCAGTGTGGACAGGGAAACTGAAACAGGGTCCCAGCTCCAAACGCAGACCCCGCCCCCGAAACCAGTGCGGGCACGCGGCCTGGCATCGCGGGGGCTGGAGGAGTCTGCTTACCTGGAACGGGGTCTGGCTGTTGTAGTTCTTCAGTTCTTTATCTCCACCTCGAAACAGAAGCACGCGTGCACAGCTGTCCTGCAGAGGGAAGAAGAGATCTGTTTGCAAATCACTGCACATACATCTTCCAAAGGAGCTTGTTCACAGGGTGAGCTCACAGGAGTTCAGAGACGTGGAAACAAAGTCAACAGGAGGGCGTTTCTGCTCACTGGAGCGACCAGGAGGAGGGCAGATGGCCCAGATGCTGTCAGCTGAACTTTCACTGCTGCAAAGACTTGGGACAGCGATTCCGCAGAATCTACAAAACTTTCACATACATACACCCCATGGCCAGTGATTCTTTTTAAGACTGACTACCCATGGAGAAAGCTGAGCACGGAAGAACTGATGCTTTGGAACTGTGATGTTGGAGAAGGCTCTTGAGAGTCCCTTGGACTGCAAGGAGATCAAACCAGTCCATCCTAAAGGAAATCAACGCTGAATATTCACTGATGCTGGAGTTGAAACTCCAATACTTTGTCCACCTGATGCAAAGAACTGACTCATTGGAAAAGACCCTGATGCTGGAAGAATTGAAGGCGGGAGAAGGGGATGACAGGTTGGATGGCATCACCAACTCAATGGACATGAGTCTGAGCAAGCTTGGGGAGTTGGTGATGGATAGGGAAGTATGGCATTCTGCAGTCCATGGGGTTGCAAAGAGTAGGACATGATTGAGTGACTGAGTGACTGAACTGAACTGAACTGATGCAGGCAGAAGGAAATGGCAAACCACTCCAGTATTCTTGCCTGGAAAATCCCACAGACAGAGGAGGCTGGCGGGCTACAGTTCATTGGGCTGCAAAGAGTCAGACACGACTGAGCAACTGAGCAATTTATAGAGAGCTATGCACACGCATATAAAATATGTACAAGTTGAAAGACCACAAGTAAACTACAAAAGGAAAGAAGAGAAAACGTGGAGATGGCAAAAATACTCTAAAATAAGGAAAAGTGGGAATCATTCTGGAATATTCTTTGTTTTCAAAACAACTTTCCATTGAAGTATCGCTGATTTACGATGTTTCCGGTATGCAGCAGCATGACTGAATTATACACAGACACACTGCTTGTCCAGATACTTTGCCATCATAGGCTATTACAGGATATTGAGCACAGGTCTCTGAGCCATACAGGAGGTCCTTGTTGTTTATCTGTTTTATATTTAGCAGGACCTATACCTGTTAATCCTAAATTCCTGATTTATCCCTCTCCCACCTTCCCCTTTGGTAACCATGTTTTTTCCTTTGTCTATGAGTCTGTTTTGTAAGTAAGTTGATTTGCATCATATTTCAGATTCCATACAAAAGTGATACATATCTTTATCTGGCTCACTTAGCATGATCATCTCTAGGTCCAGCCATGTCGCTGCCAATGGCATTATTTCTCTGTTTTACGGCCAAGTACTGTTCCGTGGTGTGCATGCACCCAGACTCCTTCATCCACTCCTCCGCTGACGGACACTGAGGTCGCCCCCATCTCCTGGCTGCTATGAACACTGGGGTGCAGGGATCTTTCTCAATTAGCATTTTGTCCAGATAAATGCCCAGGAGTGGGATTGCTGGACCATTTGGTAGCTCTATTTTTAGCTTTTTAAGGAACCTCCACGGTATTCTCCACAGAACGTTCTTTGCCAAGACAGTGATAGCAAAAACAAAACAAAAAACAACATACGCTGATAATAAAGTGACTAGAAAAAAATCCAAAATGTCTAACTAGAAAATATGAGCCTCAGAACGACAATATGGCTTAATTTCATTTCCATTCTACAGTGTGTATTTTAGAAAGCAATGAATAATCCTGAAAAGAAGTTACCTGTTAACAGGAATTACTTTCTCAGGAAGGAGAAAGGGTGAGGGAGTAATCAGAAGGAATCTTTTGCTGCTATTTTCTGTACTTACACTTTCTAATGTCTTTAAGAGGCAGCCAATGTTCTTTCCTTGTGTTATGTGTACAATGAAAAGGAATCTAGTCCTGTCCATTTAGTGAGCATCTACTATTCACCTGGAGAGGCTAACCCTCTTGGAAGTCCTGATGGGGAGAGTGGGGTCAAATACCCACAGAGAAAAAGGCACGTGAAGGGAGCTCCCGGGTCGCCCAGTGGTGAGAACGCCATGCGTTCTCTGCCGGGGCCCAGGTGCAATCCCTGATTGGGGAACTGAGATCCTGCTAACTGCATGGAGCGCCAAGTAAAATGAAAGAGAGACCAGTGGAAGCAGACTGATGTAGAAGCGGTGATGATACGAGTCCTCTGCCTACTGGATGCAGCTGGGCTGTTACGCATGAGCACCTTACATTTGGGGAAGAGTATTTAGATGCTCAAGTGCCCACAGGCACTGGCGCCTCATGCAGGGGGACTGCACTGTCTCGCACGGGGCAAGCCCCGCCCCAAGCCCATCTCCCTGGTCCACCTGCATCTACAGAGCCCAGAGCAGAGGCAACAGGTTGCCCAGGTTGGACGCTTGGTAAATAACTGCGGAATGAAGGGTCCATGAGGCAGCTGACAGGGTTTTCCACCCAGGGACCTGTTTACAGGGCCAGGCCAGCAGCCCCACCCCAACCCCAGGGGACCCGCTACCCTGGGAAGGGCAGGGGCCAGACCAGGACACACGGCGCAGGCGGAGGATCTGGACGAATAGTGGCCTGGAGACGAGGCTGGAGATGCGGAGACAGAAAGGGTGAGCGCTACCCAGGGCGGGGGCTGGGGGTGGGGAGTGGTCTGGGGCAATGAAAACGTTCTAATAGTAACTGTGGGGTGGTTAGCCAATGTGTATGCAGATTGAAAAGACCCTGATGCTGGGAAAGATTGAGGGCAGGAGGAGAAGGGGATGACAGAGGATAAGATGGTTGGATGGCATCACCGACTCAATGGACATGGGTTCGGGTAGACTCTGGGAGTTGGTGATGGACAGGGAGGTCTGGAGTGCTGCGGTTCATGGGGTCACAAAGAGTCGGACACAACTGAGCAACTGAACTGAAACAGGTTGAAAAACACCAAATTGTATATTTTAGACAGGCAAACTGTATGGTGTGTGAGATAAATCTCAATAAAGGTGTTAAATATTACCAATAGAAAAGTAAGAAAGAGACAGTCAGAGAGATCAAGAGAGACACAGAGAGACAGAGATAAAGTCAGAGAGACCAGCAGAGAAACAGTGATCAAGAGAGACACAGACCTAGAGAGACAGAGATAAAGACAGAGACAAAGCCAGAGACACCAACAGAGAGACAGAGACCAAGGGAGAGATGAATGGGCACAGACAGAGAACGCCGGCAGGAAGGTGGCTCTAGGCCCGCCAGGCCCAGCCCGGAGCACGCTGGGGCCGCCCTGACCCCCAAGGCCCTGGTGAGGGCCCCCCGGGGCCTCTATCGCAGGACGATGATACGAATGGGGGGGACACCCGTGCACAGAGCAAACAGGAGCCGAGGCATCGGGACCCTTGTTCTCCGAGCCGCGGTCAGGCAGACACACGGGACAGGGCGGGGTCTGCTCACAAACCCGCCGGCCACAGGCGGGACGGCTCTGAGTTCTGCAGGAAAGACTGCTGTCGGGCGGCCGGGGTCCCGGGCTTCAGCGGCACACGTGGGTGGCTGTGGGGGTCACTGCAGACTTGGGGTGCACATTGCACAGGCCTGGATGGAGGCCGCCTTTGGGGACCTCTGGCTGGAGAGAGGGCCTGAGGACCACTGCGGGCTGGGTCTCCAAGGCAGGCAGAGAGACAGGGAGCCCCTGGGAGGGAGGGCAGCCCCAGTGGTGCCAAGAAGGACACGCGCAGGTAGAGGTTAGGAGAGAAAAAGAGGCTGGAAGGACACACGGCCGGGAGCCCGCTGCTGAAACAGCCGTGAGCACATGATGCCCTTGGTTCAGACGGCGGGCAGGCCAGCACCACGTTGACAGGTGGAAACTGCAGGGAAACCCCAGTCTCGGTCTACACTGTCTGCACCTTTTCCATGAGTCTGATTTCAAGCGGTGCTCTGAGTAACTAAAAACACTTAAAAGAAAAATTTTAAAGATGGACCTCTGCTTGGCAAACATACCTTTCACATTTGGGATACAGTTAATCCCAGGCTGTAAAAGAAGAGCCCCGGGCGTTACTTCCAGGGGAGATGAGCCCTGGATGCCGGCCCAAGGTCCCACACCCTGGATTGAGGCTGGTCCTGTCATTTTATTCCGGAGCCTCACCTGCCGCCCCGCTGGTTCTGTGAATCAGCTTCTGTTGGAACTCGGGCTCCTGAATGTTCGGGTCCCGCCCCAGGCTCCTGGCCCCTAACCAGACCGCCAGAACCCACCCCACCAGCTGGGGCTTGTTCATTAAGACCCGAAGTCAGTCAGCTACTTAAAACAGCAGTGTGATCTTATCTCAGTGAGCAGTGCTCTGCAAAGAGAGGAAAGAGGAAAGGGTAACTGAGAGAGCCCTGGCCCTGAGGGGACATGGGGCCCGGGGATGTGCGGGATTTGCAGGTTACCACCGGGGTGTGGGGGTGAGCGAGAACGAACTCCAGGGGCAGTGAGCCAGGCCGAGCCCCCCCAGGGCTCGGGGACCTGAAGGCTGCCTGGGGGCTCATTCTGAACTGAGTTCGCACTGGCCTAAGTGTGCCCTGGCCCAGCTCCAGGGAGGCCAGGGAGGACCCGCCAGGTGACCATCCCAGATGTCTGGAGCCACTGGGGCCCATCAGAACCCAGGACAGGAGTCAGACCTGGAATTCCGTGTAACCGCTCCCCACCGCTCCGCAAGGACTTCCATTGAAAACTCCCATCAGGGAGGTTTATCTCCTAGGAAGCTAAGAATAACCCTTGCCAGGCACTGCCAGTCACACCCTCCCAGGAGGAAGCCAGCCAGGATCCCAGAAAACTCCCCCGCTCACCCCCAGAGGGACGGCTCTGAGTCAATGTTAACCAAGCTCGAGGCACACACCCTGTCGTTCTAATGGCTGCCAGACTCGGAAGGAGGAGAGGTATCAAAACCGAAGGGCAGGCGGTTCCCGTGACTTTATGACGACGACACATGTGTGTGTGTGTGTACAGAGAGGTGTATGTG